AATTCAATTAACATTAATACATTATATTTATAAATCTGAATTTATTAATATTATAAACATAATTACACTTTATACACAACAAGCATTACAAGAAATAATAAAATTTATTGATAAATATTAATTCAAACTGACTGCTAAAAAAAAAAATAAAAAGGCAAAAGCTAAACAAGTTACGAAATCAGAAACAATTAGAAAAATAAAAAAAAAACAGAATAGTAAATCGAAAAAGTTAACTCCAAAAATACAATCTACAAAAAATAACAATATTAAATATCAAAAAAATAAAACCTTAGTTAATAAACCAGATTGTACTTATTGTGGAAGTTACAGACGATATAAAGTAATTTAAAATGTCTACAACAGTTACAACAACACGAAAACGAAAAACTATTGATGATGGAGGTAGATCAATAAGTAAAAAAGTTTGTTCACTTGGATCATGTAATGATATAAAAGCATATAATGTTTGTAAATTTTCAAGACCATTTGGATATATGTCAGATATAGTAAATATTTTTGAAAAAGATAAAACATTTGTACCAGTAGATAGAAGATTTTATTCAATTTCATTACTTCAAGAAAAAAACAAAGTAGGATTTACATCATTTAAATTATTAGATTTCGTTGCACAATTTGAATTTGTTTCATTTAATCCTAATAATTTAAATAATACATCAAATATTCCTGGAACAGAGATACAATTAACAAAATTACTTTCACCATTTAAAATTGATTTTTATTTTGTAAGAATTTGTGATGAAAAGTTAGCAAAAAAAAATGATCTTAAAATTACTGATGTTCTTATTGATTCAACTAATATTAGAGGACATCAATTTGATGAGGATAAAATTAAAAGAGTAATGGAATGAAGTGTTGTGATTCTGTGTGAAGGATGTGTTTTTAAAGATCATACTGTAACAATGTGTCGAAAGTTTACCAAAGAAGAAGAAAATGTTTGCATATTATCTCAGATTGACAATGAAAGTATTATTTATAATACTGCGAATTATAAATTATTTATAATTATTGATTATATGAATTCTTTATATCAAGCTCGATTGAATAATAATGAAATAAATGATGATGATAAAATTTTATTAGGACAAAATTTAGGAGATTTAAATTCAGGATATCCAGTATATTTTACAAAATTTGAAATAGAAATAGCTTATGCACCAGCATTAGAGAATTATAAAAATTTAACAATGTTTTCACAAAATCTTAGTGATCAAATTATAGAAAGAATTAAAGAATTACAAAAAGCAGAGGTTAAAGATGAAGATGAGGCAGATGATGAATAGTTTAGTTTTTTATTATATTTTATTATTATTATTATTTTATTATTTAAATAAATTATATAAATACATGTTAAATTCTAAAATAAATTAATTTAAAATGACTTGTCAATGTTATTATAATTATAATCGATTTTTAAATTGTTGTGCAATTAAAATTCGAGAAAAAGAAGATGAAAAAATAAATAGTGAAAATTATCAAGAATATTTGTATATTGCATTATATGGAACTATAAAAAAGAGTATTAAAGAACATGATGTTAACAATATTTCTATTAATAAACCATTTTTGAATAAAAAAAAACAAGAACCTAATAATAATGAAAATTTATCAAAAGAAAATAATGATTCAAATAATAATGAACAACAATTACCTGAAAATAATCATGAACAAATACCTAAAAAAGAAGAACAACAAATTCCTGAAGAACATGAAGAACAGCAAATTTCAAATAATACTATCTTGATTGAAAATTTAAAAAAAGCAATCAAAGCTTCAAATTTAGAAGATTTATTTTTAAATAAACAAATTTATAAAGATATTACAAATTCTTTATTATTATATGATGACAAAATAGATCTTCAAGATGAACGTAAACAAGAATTAAATAATAGAATTAATGAAATGATAAATAAAACAGAGAATATTGATAATTTAAAAGAAAATCAAGTTTTAGATAATTTAATAAAACGTTCAAATATAACATTTCATGGAAAAAATTTATTGCAACAAAATAGAAAAGTAAAATTAAATGAATTACAACAAGATCTTTTACAATATTATAAAGAAGAAATTAATCAAACAGAAGTTCTATCACAATTACGAGAAATTCAATTAACAATTGG